ACCGCTTCGTCCAATACGTCCGCTCCCTCCGACACCACCTCCCCCACACCGTCATTCCCGACTGTGCGTTCATCTCCCGCATCAAACGAGTATGCCACAAAGACCTTGTAACCGCCCTCGCCCACGAACCCGACATGCCCCTTGCTGACCTCCTCTCTCGCATGCTCCACCACGATCGACTCCTCCACCCCCACCACCAGACCCCCCCCGGCATCTCCCGCACCCGCTTTTTCCACCACATCACCCTCGAAGACACCACCTCCATCACTTCCTCAGACGAGTTCACCACATCTGACCCCGACGCACCTTCCGATTCACTCGACTCTTCACCCCTCACTTCCGAGGAACTCGATGTCGTCCTGTTCATGAGAATGGAGCCCAGAGATCGCAGTTCCCGACCACCCTCATCTACCCCACCCTCCCGCCTCAAGAAACTCACCCCCGAGGAGCGCACCTACCTCCAAGCAAAAGGGGGTTGCTTCCGTTGTCGCCAATTGGGGCACCAACAAACCAACTGCCCCAACGCCGCACGATTCACCCGTCAGTCCACCTCCACGCGACCCGCAACCTCCGCATCACCGCCCTCGGCAAGCGCGGGCCCCTCATCATCATGAACATAGTCCCCAGGACACTGACCCGATATCAACATTGCATTTGTCAGCCTACCCATCAGTGACATCCTTCGTCACACCGATGGCCGATCTGACTTCGATGATTCGTTTGCCTTCCCCCTCTCCAGCGACGCCCCCTCCATCGGACGATTCCCAGGCATCGCAAACACCTCCCACTGCCTCATGCTCCTCTACCCTTCCTCCAAATGCATCCGCTATCACCTTCTCCAATGTTGTTAAGGAACAAGCCCGACACGATCGACTTGCCCGCTTAGGCAACGAACAACGCCGCCTCAACACAATCATCTCCACCGCCAACTCATCTCGTTTCCACCTCAAATTCATCGCTGCCACCCTTGGTGCGTCTACAACTAAGTTTCGGGCCCTCCTCGACATTGGAGCCACCGGTAACTTCATCACCGACRCGTGTGTCCGCAAAGCCGGTCTTACCTCTACCGGCTATGACTCCCCGATCACGATTCGCCTAGGGGACAAAGACACCGCCGTCGTAGTAGACCGCACGGTTCCCGAGACCATCATGACCATCGGAACCCTCCGCAGTCAGGTCTCGTTTGATGTCATGCACTTGATGTGCGACCTCGTCTTAGGAACCCCATGGCTGGACCGCTACATGCCATACGCATTCCACCCCAACTTCCTTCGCCTCACCAACCCCCCCGCCACAACTATTGACATCCCCTATCTCCCATATCCGACCTCCCAAGGCTCTGTCACCCCGCACCAATTCCTCCACATGGCTCGCCTAAACCCCGACTCCGCCTACTACTATTTTGTCCTTGATCGCGAAAGTCCCAAGGACTTACTCCCGACGGACAAACTCGATCAAGCCCTGCCTGCCAACCCCGCCATCACTTCAATCCTCGACGAGTTCAGGGACATCTTTCCCGAGTCCTTACCCGCTGGACTACCTCCGAATCATGACGTATCGCATACCATCGATTTGGAACCCGGACATTCTCCACCTTGCCGCCCTCCATACCAACTCTCTGTCCCCGAAGCCGAAGAAATGAAACGGCAACTCGGTGAACTCCTTGAAAAAGGGTTCATTAAGCCAAGTTCATCCCCCTTCGGAACCAKCTGCCTTTTCGTCAAGAAAGGTSGAACTTCGRAACTCCGCATGTGCACAGACTAYYGYGCCTTAAACCGGATCACGATCAAGAACAAGTACCCCCTACCTCGGATTTCCGAGCTCCTTGATCGTCTCCGTGGAGCCAAGTACTTTACCAAGATCGACCTTCGTAGTGGYTTCCACCAGATCCGTATCCGCGAGGAGGACACTCACAAGACCGCCTTYCGCTCTCGGTTCGGGCACTACGAGTTCCTCGTGATGCCATTCRGACTCACCAATGCCCCCGCYACCTTCCAATCCACCATGAACCACATCTTCCGCAACCTCCTCAAAGTCTGTGTCGTTGTCTACCTTGATGACATCCTTGTCTTCAGCCCCACCTTCGAGTCCCACCTTCAGCACCTCCGCCAAGTCCTCGCGATCCTCCGAGAGCAAAAATTCTACGCCAAGCTCAGCAAATGTATGTTTACCGCTTCGAGCGTCGAATACCTCGGCCATATTGTCTCCGCTAAAGGCATCCGTATGGACCCCTCGAAGGTCACAGCCCTCGTCGAGTACCCCCCACCCAAGACCCTCCTCCAACTCCATTCCTTCCTTGGCCTTGCCAACTATTACCGCCCATTCATTCGCAACTTTTTCGAGATCTCTTACCCTCTCCACGAACTCACCCGCAAGGACGAGCCTTTCCATTGGAACGATCGCCGCCAACAAGCTTTCGACTTACTCAAGCAAACCATCACCATGGCCCCTATCCTCAAGATCGCCGACCCCACTCGCCATTTCTATGTCACCACTGACGCCTCCGACTTCGCCATCGGAGCCGTACTGTCCCAACATTTCCCCCGCGGCACCGCCGAGACCCCCTCCATCAAGGACTCGCACACTTAATCGCCTTCGCAAGCAAGAAGCTCCTTCCTATGGAGATGAATTACCCCTCCAACGAGAAGGAACTCCTCGTCGTGATCCATGCCCTCACAGTCTGGCGCCCGTACCTCGACGGGCAATACTTCACCATCCGCACTGACAACACCATCGTCTCCTCCACCCTCTCCAAGAAAGATATCACTCCACGCCAAGCCCGCTGGCTAGACTTCCTTGCCCAGTTCACATTCACCATTTGCCATACCCCCGGCAAAAGCAACYGCGTTGCCGATGCCCTCTCGCGACGACCCGACCACAAGCCCCCCGAGAAAGTCTACGCCGCCATGACTCATATTCAACTCCTTCCATCACTTCATCACCGATACACCCCAGGCTATCTCTCCTGCTCAGACTTCGCCACCATTTACAACAAGCTCCGCGATCTTGACTCAGTTCCCGACAACTCCCTTCACAACAATCTCTTCTACATCATTACGGCATTCGCCGACTTTGCATCCCCGACGCACGAGGCCTCCGTACTCAGCTCTTGGCCGAGCACCACGATGCCAAGACCGCAGGACATCTCGGTTTCCAGAAGACCTTCGACACCATCTCCCGCTACTTCTACTGGCCTTCCCTACTCGTCGACGTTAAGGCATACATTCGCTCGTGCCCCACGTGTCAAGCTGTCAACCCCTCGAAC